AGGGCAATCGTTTCAGATCGTGATGTTGAATTCCTTAGTCATTTTTGAAAAATTTTATGGGTATAATTTGACACCATTCTCAAATTTAGCACCTCAAGTCATTGCTAAACAAATGGTCTGAAGTAAGTAACCAACAGAACTTTGGGAAATGTAATTCGTTGCCTTAGTGAAGACCACCTAAAACAATTCGTTGCTCTTGCCCAAGCTGAGAATTTTGATCATATGAAGAATAAATCCACAAGGAAGTCCCCATTTAAAATTGTTTACACTAAATTACCTCGCCTAACAATTGATCTCACGAATATACCCTCTTCTGTTGATTTTAGTGTCGTGGTGGAACAAATGACAACTAAGAATAACTGAGCTTCACAAGAAGGATGCAAATGCTAAATGCTGAGATAGAGAGTTCAATGAAGAAGACCTTGTCATGATACACCTAAGAAAAAACAGATTTACTTGCAACAAATTGAAGAAGAGGAAACTTGGCCCCTTTCAAATCTTGGAAAAACATGGCCATAACGCTTACAAAATCCAACTTCCTTCAGACTTCCCCATCCAGCACATCTTCAATGTGACCAACATTTGTGCTTTTGAGGCTCCTGATAGATTTATCTTGGCCGGTTGACTTGAGGATGAGTTCCTTTTGTAGATGGAGGGAAATTGGTGTAACTACCTACCATTAGCTCTATAAGTTCGTTATTGATACAGACCGGTTGGTAGGGGAGGATCAGAATGCTCAGAGAGTTGATGATAGCGAACAAGAGTTAGAAGTTGACGAGGGGGCCTATTTTCCTTTTACCAGAAAAATGGTGGTAGCTCTTAGGATGTTTAATATGTGCCTCAGGCCCATCTCTTCGAAAGAAAGGAAGAAGAAGCTAGGCAGATGATGGCCCATATAATTGGGAAAAAGGAGGTAAAGGAGGAAGACTCAGAAATTAAAAGATTAGAAGAGGGCCTAGAGGTTGTATAATGAAGCTTCTCTCTTGGAACGTCCGAGGTTTGGGAGCTCGTTCAAAAAGAGTGCTCATTAAGGATCTCATCTCTAAGGTGGACCATTTATTGATGCTTCAGGAGACTAAGTTGACTACTAATAGAAAGGTTGTTAAGACTGTGTGGAGTTCGTGTAGAATCGGTTGGGTGGTTTTAGATGCCGAAGGTTCCTCGGGAGGCATCCTTTTGGAACAAGGATGTTATAGTGGTAGAAGACTCCTTTTTAGGGAGTCTCACGGTCACCCTGTGTATCAGATTTTTAAATGGTTTCAATGGTTGGGTCACGGGTGTGTATGGCCCTTCTTCGGCATAGTCTATGGCAAGAGTTAGTTGATTTGGCTGGCCTTTGCTCGGGAGACTGTGTATTGGTGCGGACTTTAACGTGGTCGGATCTCCCTTGGAGAAATCTATAGGTGGAAGAGTCACCCGGAGTATGAGGACGTTCAACGATGTAATAGAGACTATGGAGGTTGAAGATATTCCTTTGAAAAACGGCTCCTTTACTTGGTCGAATCTTAGGGAAATCCCAGTCAGCACTTGCATAAATAGATTCTTTTTGTCATCCAGTTGGCTGAATTTTTTCATACAGGTAACTCTATACAGACAATCTAGAACTACCTCGAATAATTTTCCCCTTCAACTGAACCTTGGTAATCAGAAATGGGGTCCTACTCCATTCAAGTTTGAAAATGTTTGGTTGGAACATCCATCTTTTCTTCGGATGGTGGAGTCGTGGTGGGGAGATCAGTTCCTTTCGGGATGCCCGACTTTGTGTTTATGGAGAAGCTTAAAGGCCATAAAAAGCAGCTCATTTTATCGAACTGAGAAACTTTCGGACAGATTGAAAATACTAAAAGGGACATTGTAGCTAAATTAGATGCCATAGATAGAGAATAGGAGCTCAGAAACCTTTCGGATGAGTCGGTGGGTTTTAGAGCGTCCCTCAAGGCAGATCTTTTGGATATATTGCTCAAAGAGCAAAGGATGTGGTCCCAAAAATGCAAATTGAGATGGCTAAAGGAGGGAGATGAACATTCGAATATCTTCCACAAATGGGCCTCGACAAGGAGAAAAGCCATTATCTGATCTTTGTGGACAGAAACGGTAACGAGTTGCATTCTGATAATGAGATTGAAAATGAAGTGGTTGATTTTTTTCGCCATTTCTATGTGGAGTCAGAAGGTAGTAGGTTTATTATGGAGGGGCTGAATTGGTACCCTCTTCAGAATGTGTGGGCTGAAAGTTTGGAAGCTCCTTTCTGTGAGAAGGAAATCTGGAAAGCTATTAGCAGTTTGGGCAACTTGAAATCCTTAGGGCCAAACGGCATGTCGGTTGAATTCTATAAAAAAACTTGGAACATTCTGAAAACAAATCTAGTAAGAGTGTTCCGAGAGTTTTTGGAGAACGTGATAGTCAATAAATGCACCAACGAGACCTACGTTTGTCTAATTCCAAAGAAGAAGCCGGCCAACAAGGTTGGCGAATTTCGTCCGATTAGTCTGGTTACCTCGCTATATAAAATCATAGCCAAAGTGTTGGCCAGAAGGCTTAAGAAGGTTCTTCACCTTATTATCGACGATGCCTAGTTTACTTTTGTTGAGGGATCCTTGATGCTATGTTAGCGGTGGCAGAAGCTGTTGGGGAGTGTAATGCCTCTAAGAAGGAGGGTTAGTTGGTAAAAATTGATTATGAGCTTATGACATGATTAACTGGGATTTCTTAGATGCGGTGTTCGAAAAAAAGGGCTTCGGCAGTAGATGGCGAATGTGGATCTGAGGCTGTTTGTCTTCCGCAAATTTTTCCATTCTTATCAACGGCCGGCCAAAGGGGGAAATTAATGCCAAAAGAGGTCTAAGGCAGTGAGATCCCCTCTCTCCTTTCCTTTTTACCTTAATTGGATATTCTTTCAGCCGCCTTGTAAATCTTTTCTGTGAAAAAGGATGATTCATGGCTTCGAAATAAGCAGAGGGAAGGAGTTGGTTTCACATTTACAGTATGCAGATGACACTATTGTCTTTTGTTTGGGTTTCAAAGGTAATTTGGCAAGATGGTGGAAGATCATCTCTTTGTTTATAAAGGGATCTGGACTGAAAATTAATTTAGCCAAAACCTCTCTTATTGGGCTGAATATTCCTGAGCAGAGAGTAGCCTCGAAAGTTGCTCTGTTTGGGCGCAGAGTTGAGAGCCTTCCCTTTGTTTATCTGGGGCTCCCCCTCGGTGGGAATCATCAGGTGATAGCTTTTTGGAGACCTTTGGTGGAAAAGTTTAGAATCAAGACGTATAAATGGTAGAAGCTCGTACTTTCAAAAGGTGGTAGATTGACTTTGGCTCAATTGGGCCTGAGCAGTTTACCTACATTTTACTTTTCTCTTCTTAAAGCTCCATCGAGTACTACTTTAGAGTTGGACAAGATAGTCAAAGATTTCTTTGGGGGGATCTTCTCATCCCTGTCAGAATCTTGTCAATTGGGATCAGACCTCTTTACCCGTGAAGTGGTGGCTGGGGTTTCAGCGCTTTTAAACAACGAAATAAAGCCTCGTTGATTAAATGGTTGTGGAGGTTTATGAACGAGAATGAGGCCATCTGGAGGAGGGTGATTGCTAGTATCTACGGGGTGGACACAAGGGGGTGGTTGTCTCTTGATCCCAAGGGAAGAGCTAGGGGAGGACTGTGGCACAATATTGAAAAGCTAAGTACTTTCTTTCAGAAATTTTTGTAGTTCAAATCCGCCAAAGGGGATCATATCCGGTTCTGGTTGGATTGGTGGACCGGAGATCTCCCTTTGGTACAGGCTTTTCCAGATCTTTACGCGGTCTCTTCGAAACAACATGCAACCTTAGAAGAGTGCTGGAGTTTAGATCAGAACGGCTTGGACTTGGGCTTTAGAAGAGGCCTTTTCGACAGGGAGCTAGCTTCATGGGATAATCTTGTCCAGATTTTGGACCCTGTGATGTTAGGAGAGGAGTTGGATAGTGTGGTCTGGACTTTGGAGAAGGATGGGCGCTTTTCTACTAATCCCAAAATCCCGAGTACTTTGATTGAGGGAATTTGGAAGAGTACTGCCCCTAAGAAAGTTAAGGTGTTTCTTTGGTCTCTTGCCAACAGAGTTTTGAACACTCATGACCGGCTTCAAAGAAGATGCTCAGGGTGGTTTCTCTCACCATCTATTTGTTGTCTTTGTTTGGTCAACAGAGAAATGGTGGATCATATTTTTCTGAATTGCCATTTTGCTGTAAGGGGGTGGCAGAAACTGTTAGATTATTTCTCCATATCCACGTGTTTTCCTAGAAGAATTGAAGATTGGCTGCTTGAGTGTCTTCATGGGTGGAGCCTCAAAGGCAAACGTGAAGAGTCATGGGGTTGTGCTTTCAGAGCCTTGCTTTGGCAGTTGTGGCTAGAAAGGAATAGTCGCTCCTTTGAGGATAAGGCAAATTCGTTTGATTCTTTTTGTAATAGTGTGCATATTACAACCTCTTGGTGGTGCTATAGGAACAAAAAATTCTTTTGTAATTACAGCCTCTCTCAAATCATTCAAGATTGGAGAGCTCTCCTATATTAGTATTTTGGAGAGGGACTCCTTGTCCCTTGTCCTTAGGCTGTTCTTTTGTTGTTCCTTTAAATGAATTGTTTGTCTCTTATGCAAAAAAAGAAAAAAAACGTTCGTTGGTTAAGGGTTGAAGTTAGTTAGTTAGCTGTTGTAACTATGCCTAATGGCTAGTTAGACTCTCGGCTGTAGCACCTCTTCTACAAAAAGGGCAGTGTACGCCCCCATGGGTTTTTAATCTTCAATAATATAATTTCTCTCCTATGTTGGTTGCGCCATTTTTGTTTAGATTTTAATCTCTCGGTTTGTGTTTTTTTATGTGGGTTTTGATGTTGTAAATTCACACATTATTTGTTAGGTCCCTCTTAGAACACTATAGCTTTTTGCTAAATTTTTTACCCCTCTTTCCTCATTATAATTATTGTGTGATATTAACGCAAAGTATCTTCTTCTCTGTGATTGATAGGTGGTTGAATCTGCTTTCAATGAGGAAAGAGGAATGCTAGATCTACCTGATGGTCTTATCCATTTTAGAATGAATATCGTTGAGCTTCTGGTGGATATTTGTCAAATTTTAAGGTCTTCGAGATTTATGGAAAAGGTCTGTTGGTTTAAGGCTGTGTTTTATCAATGGTAAAAGTGTGAAGTATCTTTGGTTTGGGCACTGTGATCATAGATATTATATTCTATACAGTTTGGCATTTCTTAAAATTTCTTTTTAAAAATTGAATTTAAAATTTTGGTACTTGGAGTTGATAAGAAATGATAGAAGAATGATGAGTGCAAAAAAGAGATACTTGAAGCGTATGGTTGTGTTGGAGAAATTTGATTTTGAATTTTTCCCGATGTGAAATCATTCATTTGGTTTATATTTGCTTTATTTACCTTTGTTTTCTTTTTAAACAAGAAATGGACTTCTCATTGATATAACGAAAAGATACTCAAATGAAAGAACCCCAAAAAACGAGCAAAGTTGGTGAAGACTCGAATAGAGAATAATCAAATATTATTCATCAACCGAAAAGCTAATACAAAGCCCTATTTATGGAGGGCGGCTGCAAACTGTTTATGCTAATTGAGAACTAACAGCTGGTGTCTATTACTAACAGAAGACTAATGGTCTTTTTAAACATGACCGTTAGCTAGCCAAACAGCAGCTATATGAACTAATTTAAAACTATTCGAACTACTTTTCTTATACTAAAGTAGTTGGTTACATAAAAAATAAATGTAAAATAATGGAAATCAAAATTCTTTATTTTTTTGGGTTATAAGACAATGTCATTATTATTATTTTTTGGGTTATAAAACAATGCCATTTAAAGAAACAAACCCCAAAAATGAGTGTAATAAAGCGAAACAAACCGAACCTTATTTTTTTGGTTGTAAATTTATCCAATCCACACGAGTCTAGCTATATGATAGATCATACTAAATCCAACCGTAAAATATTTGAGTCGGAGGTTAAAACATTAAATTAGGATTAGTATTTCCATGTCAATTTTTATACGTTGAAAGATTATGCTCCTAAGGACCGAAAGAGTTTATTTTCCAGAAGTTGTCGGAGAGTGTAAAATATGCAAAGAATTATGTAAAATGACATTTTTAATTGATGATAAGTTTGTCTGCGGGATATCTCATCTCCCCCATTTGGTATGAGCTTTCTTGTTAATACATTTTCTCAAGTTTCCTATCAAAAAAAGAAAACAAAGAGGATTTGCTAAGAGTTTTCCGGGGAGTTTTACCATTACTTTCAGAATGTGCTCTTAATGAAGAATTGCAAATGCTCTTCAATGTAGACAAAAGAGTCACTTCTTCACAATGAAAGTAATGGTGAAAAGACATTACCTTCAGAGCAATCAAACATTCCTCCATATTTTGAAGGAGTGGGCATTTCTCTTGTACCATTTAATGGGGTAGATTGAACTCAAGGGGCTGGGAGATCTTAGTTAAAGTGTTGTCATAGAAGAAGTTCCTTCAGCAAATTTGGTCAGAATTTTTCGGTTTCTTCTAAGTCAGATTATTTTTGTATCTTTTGAAGAGGTGGATAAGGTTTTTGTAAATGAAGTGTTAGGCAGCAGGAGTAATTTTGAAATTGAAAGGTCATTCTCAATAATAAGCAGCAGGGGATGATTGATTTTCCCATGGGATCCAGCAGTTGAAGTTGTCTTTTGAAGATGGATGGTCACAGGTGCTTGAATCTTCCATTTGTCTCAATATTAGTAGGTGTCTTTCAAAGTTGAAAGGTCACAGATTTTTTAATGCTCTGCCTCGGTATTCAAGATTTGGTGATTTAAAGACAGCGGGATTTGATTTTATTTGTCTTCTCAGCTTCCTTCTTTGAACTTCAAAAGTTATTTAAAAATCAAGCTCAAAGGACACTTGGGTTCTAGGGAAAGGCCGCAGACTTTTTCAAACAATGTGGCATTTTCAAAAAGCCATAGGGGAAGGCTTTATTTCACATTGGGAAGTAGCATGGGTATGAGGATTTCATTTACACTTGGCTGTATTTTTGGTTAATGAAGAGTTCTTGCCTTCAGTTCACCTTCGAAAGCAGCATGGGCTTGAGGCTTTTATTTCCACTTGGCTAGATTTTTGGATACCAAGGATATCTCGCCTTTAATGCACTTTGGAAAGGGCATAATCCTTAATATTCAATTGGTTTAGTCTTTAATTTTCCCTTGGAAGACAGCGATTAATGTAGCTTTCCATACCCTTTTCGGTTGGTTTGGTTTTTCAAGGAGGTTTTTCTGTCTTTCCATATTTCTATTAGCTGAATTCTGGTTTTCCTAGAATCATTTAATGCTGCAGCCATCAATTTCAAATCTGAAAGGGTTTTGGTCCCCATGCAAAATTTTTGGTCCTGAAATCTTTGAGCAAGCTTTGGTTGATTCTTGTATTCTTTTTTAGCGTGATTGGAAAGTTTTAAGATTTGTGAAAAGGAGACAACTACGTGGAAATGATTCAGGTGGTTTTTGATGAACTCACTGATATGGTTGAGCTCTTTAGCTATTTTAAACGCTAAAAGTTTGATAGAATTAGATAATCTCTATTCCATTCACTAAAGATTATGTTGGATTTATCAATATTTGAGTGTAAATATTAGTTGTCTATATTTTGTCTTTATGGTATTTATTTATCTCCTTATTTGTAGTGGGTACTTCTCCTGTATAATTAGACCTAAGTTACATATATGAATATAATAGAATATCTTTCTTCACTTGAATTAAGATGGTATTAGAGCTCTAGGAAGAAAAAACCTTAATTCTCAAAAAAGAAAATAACAATAGCCATCATCAGGCATCAAAACTTCCTACCTCCGACGATCTCCTCACGACAACCTAGCTGTTGTCGTCAACCATCTTCACCGTCCTCGCGATCAATCTGCAGGTCTCATCTTTGTAGATTCAAGCCGCACCGTCTTCACAAGTCTCGCCTTTGAAAATCTGCTCTGTCTTCGCAGGTGGTCCCTGCCACCTTCTTAGATTCGCGCCATCACACTCCTGCTCGTTGTCGTCGATCATCCCCATCTTCACAAATTGTAGATTGTTCGTGTTTGCCAACCTTTTTTGTGTTCTCTCTTCATCGATTGCCATTCATCTTAGCCGTGAGGAGTAGTCTTCATTTACTGAGTCGTCGTTTCGCTTCGTCGTCTAGACTCTAGGTGTTTCATCCTCAGTGTTGTCGCCACCATCGTTGCCGCCGTCGCCCTATTACTGTTGTCACTTCTGTTTAGATTCAAATTTTTATGTTTTTTGAACCCTAGCCGATTCGGTTCATGATTTGGTTCGGTTCAGTATAGTGTTTTGTTTGGTCTGTCTGTTCGGGTTGGTTGCTTCACGGCCAATGGTTTAGTACGATTTGGTCTGCTTCTGATTTTGTTTGTCTCTGCTGGTTAACAGGTTATCTCTTTTCTAATTTCAGTTTGTGGCTTGATTTGGTTTGGTTAATTACTAGCCACTTCTGTTCTTTTGTCAGCCTTTGTTCAGGATAGTTCATTTATTTGAAATGGTCCAAATTTTGACTAACGATAAGAGGGGAATGGTCAATGACAGTAGTGGTGACTCAAGTATAGAGCAAATTCATGAAACTCTTGAAATTACTATCCAGCCATTTATCTTCCAATAATTCATGTGTATCGTTGACACAAAAGATATTTATTCTAAGGCTTTCTCTTGTAGTAACTCATCTTCGTGGATTATAGATTTTGAAGCTTTTGATCATATGACAAGTTCACCATAAAACTGACGAAGACTTTCTCTAGAGCCTGTCCTCCATATTCCAAAATTGGCCTGTAATCTTTTATTTGTCAACAAACTTTCTAAAGATTCTAAGTATTGTGTTACTTAGGGAAGAAAAAAGGTAAGTATGCTCTGTTCTCTCTCCTCTCTCCTCTCCCCCGTCCTCCTCCTTTCCAGTTCGTCTCTCCTTTGGTAAAGCCTCGACCTCAATTTCTTCTTAGTAGTTTCGTTATACTTCGGTCATTTAGAATGGAAGTAAGCAGTTGTTGTATTGACGGGTCATTTTTCTGCATTTGGTTCGAAAGTGATACATTCATGTTGGAAGATGTGAAGCGAAATTTTATTATGTCTCTACCTTCATTTCAATTTCTCTGGTTCGAAAATCACATGGCAGAGGTCACTCGACAATCGATTCTTGCCTCTCTATTCTTTCAACTAAGAGATGACCTAGGACAATGTCGAATACAAAAATTCCATTCAAAGGGTCTATGGTTTTTGAAATGGGTGTTATGGCCTTCCACAGGTGGTTGAAAGAGCATAGTCATACCTGCCGGAGATATGAGGGATGGATGGAACACATTTTGGAAAATTATGAAAGCGTTCTCAGTTTGTATAGCATAGGCTGAGGCAATGAAGATGGTTAGGAACATCTGTCCTTCTTGTGTTATGAATGCAAAAGTCGATGAAAATTCGAGTCCTCAGGGCTAGAGGAATGAACCTTCAATTCAAAAGTTACTTGCAAGAATAGAAAAATTTTATGCTGAGGTGGTGGTCGGAAAAGGAGAAGTAGCACATTCGTGGCCATCACGCGACGTTCAGAGGATCGTAGAAAACTCAAAGAGGTCTTCAGACAAAGTCTAAAGTTTTTGGGTTAAAAAAGAGACCGAGGTGCTGGAACTGGACTGGAACAGTTGATGGTGGTCTCTAAAGGTTGTGCACATGATGATTGGATTGAAATCGCGAGGTCCCTAAAAGAAAGATAGACTATGTGATTAATCGTATCATGGTCGATAAAGGTATATTGAAATTCTTAGGAGATTCGGTTCTTAAACCCAGTGAGTTGACTGGAAAATGGAGGAAGATTGGAAAGTTTCACTTAAAACTGGGAAGATGGAGTCCTCGTTGGCATAACAAGAGGGAGTTCAGTTAGGGAAACAGAGGATCGTTAACCATTCAGGACTTACCTTTTTACTATTGGACTCGTTCAACATATGAAGCCATTGGAAAACAATGCGGTGGATTGTTGGACATTTCTACAGATACTCTAAATTTATTAAATGCCTCTGAAGGCTTCATTAAAGTTAAACGCAATTCTTGCGGCTTAATTCCGACTTCAATGACTATTAATGATGAGAAATATGGATCATTTGAAATCATGATTGCTACTTGTCGTCCTTTACATCCAGTTGTTTCAGATGGATTGAGCACGGATGCAGAAACAATGTCAAACCCATTAGACATTGAACGGATGAAAGTGATTTTGGAAGATGAACAGTCAATTTTTTTTGAAATTGGCAAGGAAGTAGAAGGGTCGCAGGCGTTGTGTTTATTAAGGAATTGAGGGTGTGAGAATCCCTTATCTAGCACAGAATCTAATCAGATATTCTAAGGAGGTTGAAGTTTTCGAAGAGAGAATAGAGAATGATGAGTTGGCAATTGAAGATTCGATTGGGGAAAATTTAAATCCCCTCGGGAATCAGAGGATTGTAGAAGAGACAGTGATAGTCCCAAGTCAGATTGGAAAGATTGATGGGTCTTTAAATCATACGGAAGGCATTTCAACTCCAAATCAATTGGAAGACGTTTCAATTCCAATGGCAATAAGTATTCCTAATGGACGAGTGGCCCTGCTCCCATATTATTATTCTAGGAATAAGGTGAAACATTTGGCAATTAATGAGTTGGAATAAATGGTTGTCGTCAACCAAGAGTCGACAAATGTGCTGGAAGAATTTAATGAAGAAAGAGAAAATCCCTCTCAACGCAATGATTCGGCTAATCCAATGCTCTCGAAAAGTTGTTTTCCACCTTCACTTTCACATGGGACTATCAATTCTACCAAAATATCAGTCCAGTCGCCCCCTCCTCGGGATTCATTTACAGAAGATACAGACTTTGAGATAAGAGTCAGTAGCCCAGATTATTCTCCAAACCCTAATTCCATCAAATTGCCAGAGGTTATTCCACTAAAGCCGGATGAAGAGACTTGCGAGCATTCCATAGAGGAAGCTATTCATACTCTATTTGGCGAAGCAGAGGATCAAGTAGAGCCAGAGGTTATTCCACCTTTTTTCAAAGAAGCGAGCATTAATCTAGTCCAAATCACAAAATCACAATGAAAGTGATTTTGTGGAATGTCAGAGGATTGAGTAATGACGAGTCAAGACTGAAAATCATGAATTTTATCCAGAACCATTGTCCAGATGTGGTGTGTCTTCAAGAAACAAAGGTTCAACACATCGAGCAACAACTGATTAAACCCCTTTGGAGTTCTAAAGATATTGGTTGGACAACAGTGGACTCTTAGGGAAATCAGGAGGCATGCTTATTATGTGGGATGAAGGCCGCATGTGTAAAGGATGTCATTAAAGGGGGGTATTCCTTATCAATTCTCATTTCTTTTTCGGGTATCGATAATATATGGCTAACCACTGTCTATGGTCCAACGGACTACAAGGAAAGAAGATTTTTCTTTCAAGAGCTCAGGGACTTCTCATCGTTGTGCGAAAAATGTTGGTGCATTGGTGATGATTTCAATATAATTAGATGGCCTTCGGAAAGATCCTCGTGTGTCCGAGCATGAAAAGCTTTTTAAGAAGTTTAATGAACTGATTAGCGAAATGGAAGTGATTTAAATTTACCTGTCCAATGGCGAATTTACTTGGTCCAAGCCAAGTCTTGAATCTACTCATTCCTTGCTTGACAGATTTCTAGTTTCAAGCGGATGGGAGGAGGTATTTTCAAACTCCAGGGTGTCGCAGGGAGGACTACTTCAGATCACTTCCCGATAATCTTGGAGGCGGAGGACTTTCAATGGGGTCCATATCCGTTCAGATTCTTCAATTCCTGGCTCAGGAATAAAGATTGTATTAGTCTAATTGAATCCAAACTTGCCAATGATCAATCCTACGGATGGGCTGACTATGCCTTAAATTCAAAGTTCTGCAACCTTAAATCCTTTCTAAGAGCGTGGCACATTCAAAATGAGAAGTTAAAGAAAGAGGCTGAAGTAATTACTTCATCAACTTTCTTCTCTTGATGTAAAGGAAGAAGAATGCAGGTTATCTACAGAAGAAATTGAGAATAGATGCAAATGCCAGAAAGAAGTACTCAGTTTATATGTGGAAAAAGAAATAAACATGTTAAAAAAAAATAGGATACATTGGCTAAAGGAAGGGGATGAAAATTCTAGCTTTTTTCACAAGTACCTTGTTGCCTGCAGAAGGAAGACCGTGATTTTGGAAATAATCAATGATCAAGACATTGCACTAATCATCAGAGGGACATTGAAGGAGAAATATTAAGCCTTTTTGAAAAGCTTTACACCGCAAACTCTGGTCTCCGATTCTCTCCTAGAGGGATTAATTGGCATCTGATTCCTTTATCAGAAAGACAGTGGTTGTAAAGAGAGTTCGAGGAAGCAGGAATTTGGGCAGCAGTGAATGATATGGGCAAAAACAAGGCTCCCGACCCTGGCGGCTTTACCATAGAATTTATAATCCGTTACTGGCAATTTTTGAAACCAGACTTCGTTCGTTTATTTAAGGAGTTCCACAGCAATGGTCATATTAACGCTTGTCTCAAGGAGAATTTTATATGCCTTTTTCCCAAAAAGGTTGCAGCATAAAAAATTCGAGATTTTAGACCTATAGTTATTTCTTCTTCAATTTACAAAGTGATGGCCAAAGTACTTGCAGAACGCCTTAAGAAAGTACTGCCCTGCTATGATCGAAGGAGGTTGCCATTGAGAATAAACCAGAGGATAGGTGGTCGAGGAGGATTAGGTATAGATGAAGATGTGTTGCTAGAGGGCACTTCCCTATATGAAAAGACAACATAATAGACAAGAAAGTCATTGTCTTCCTTTGGACGCTCTCCTTGACTATTACTCAAAGATGGTGAAAAAAAGAAGTGTCCGCAAAGAACGTAACATCAGGAGATACGAGATATCTATTGAGATCAGGACAATACCACTGATACCCTTTTTGAAAATAACCAAGGAAAATGCATTTCAAGGACTTGGGGTGTAATTTGGTGAGTTGGGCCCAAACGAAACATTTACAACTGAATATTGTAGGTTTGACAGAAAATGAAGGTTGGTTTGGGAGACTTGTTTCTTTGCTAATTTGTGGAGAATTTGGATTGAGAGGAATAGTAAAATTTTTAGGGGTGGAGAGGTCTTCGGAGGATCTTTGAGATCTTGTTAGATTTAGTATCTCTTTTTGGGTGTCGATTTCCAAGGTTTTTTGTAGTTACCAGCTAGGTATCATCATTTTGGATTGGACTCCCTTATTGTAGGGGGTCTCCCAATTAGTTGGGCTTGTTTTTTATGGTCCTTGTATATTTTTTCATTTTTTTCTCGATTAACGCTTGATTTCTCATAAAGAATAACCTGGTTACTTTTTTTTTTGATAAGAAACAAAGAGAATGCATTCAAATCAAAAGAGCCCAAAAAGGCGAGAACAACCTAAAGGCGGAGAGTAGAGAACCCTCCCCAAAGAGAACTATACTATCGCATTCTTCCAATCGTGTGAAATCCGGTGTCTCATATAAATAACCTACAAGGAAGATTTCCTGCTTTTATTTAATGAGCAAACAGAAGATGAGAAGTCAGATTTTTTAAAGCAAATAGCCATTCCTTCGATTTTTAAAGAAAGGGGATTACTCTTGTCCCGGTTGACAGTGTTCCCTGATTTTAAGTTCTTTTAAGTAGTTGTTTGGGTCCTCTGAGTTCTAAGTTGTTCGGAAAGCTGAAACGTTCTCTCTCTCTTACACCTTTTGCAGTTTTTGAAGCTTTGCAGTTGTAGTTTGGTTGGTTGGTTGATGAAGATTTCAAAGTTTCTTATTAGCTTGTGGGTTGGCATTATGGTGGCTTATTATTATTGGAGATGTTTTGAAGATAGCATTGAGGTTTCATTTTTGGTGTTTACTCCTTGATAAACTTTGGGGAATTGGCCTTTTCTCGATCTGTTTTTAGTGTTTTGGCTGGTTGCGACTTCGTTCTTGTGTCCCTAGCTTCTACATGAGTTTGATTTTCGCTTCTGGTTCTATGGAAGCATTGGAAGGTTTTATCCCTCAAGTGGTCATGGTTTTGAAGTTCTTTTGGTTTTTCAAACTTTGTAGCAATCAATTTTCTGAGTCTGCTTTAGAATGATTTTTATCTTGTCTGAGATTGTATTGCTCTTGCTGTGCTAATTCTTTGTTATTTTTCTCTTCTTCTCTCTCTTATTTTTCACCTCTTTGGGGGTTTGTATCTTGAACATTTTTCCTTTTCATATATCAATGAAAAGTTGTTTCTGGTTAAAAAAAAATATAAATTTGTGTATTAGATGTGTAATTTTTGTTTCGTTGGGTTATTCTAATCGGTTCTATGTAACTTGTGTTTACTTTTTCACGTCTTTCTCACTCCAATGGAGTTTGTATCTTTGAACATTTTATGTTCCTTTTCATTTATCAATGAAAAGTTCGTTTCTTGTTAAAAAAAGAATTTTGGTTTCGTTGGGTTGAAAATTCTCTTATGTCAAGGATTCATGAGTACCAGATGAGAGAGACTAGAGAGACGAGAGAGACAATGGAGAGAGTGCTTGCATTTCTGCGGCAGGGGGAACTTCAAAATATTTGTATTTCATGCCCCCTTCCCGTTCCCGTTCCCCACCCCCATCTTCTTTTGCATTTTTTTCTAATAAATATCTGTTATCTTAATTTTCTGTTGTACAATTTTTTTTGTAGCTTTTCTTCAGTGGTTGGACCAATGGTAATGTACCAATTCCTTGGAGGGAAGTGGAGGGCAAATTGTTTGCTCTGAATGTGGTGAGGCAACATGCTGTTTTGTTTTTGTCCTTATATGATAACATGCGACATATGAATTTTCCTTTTTTTTTTGTCCACTTGAGATCTGGAAGAAAACTAAAAGCATGATTATTGCTGCTGATTCCAATCTTTGGAAAAATTATCTTTAGTGTTTCTTTTTACCCATATATTGGAAAGTCAAACTTGGTTTCACAATCCTTATGATCTTCTCTTTGATGCTAAATATAGTTTTGTTGAAAACTTTCAACCTGTCTCATAATGAGGAAACCTAGATGGTCCCTAATGTACTAATAACATGCTGCTAATGTTTTAAAAGGCTAAAGACGTCTTGAGGATTATCCTCTCAAAGGGGCAAGGTATATGCCCCAATTTTAATAAAGATAATGATACAAATCATACCTATACGTTGTTAAGTGCATGAATGATAATCTTTATTGCTTCACGTTTTTCGCTTTCAAGTTGGTTTATCATTGATGGTTTCATGGGAAAACGTAAAAGTCTTCATCGCTTCTGCATTTTGGGTTTTCAAGGTGGATCATTATTGATGGATGAAAGGAGATGGAAGAGTCTCCATGCAGCCTCTTTACTTTAATTCTTCTTGGTAATATCAAAGTCCTTTGCATGCTTCCTCACGGTTTCCCATTGTCAGCATTTATGCTAGTCTTTATTGGTGGTTTCCGTGGGATTTGAGGAGTCCTTTTCTGCAGAAATTGTTTCTTATTGGTTGGATTTCATTTCGAGAAGTTGAAAGGTCTTTTTTTTGTTTGCTTTTCTTTTTTAAAGGGTTCCTTTGTTGGTTTATTCCATTTTAGGCGTTTTCTTTTCAGTTTGTTTTGAGTCCTCCTTGGCTTCATGGATCTTCCTTGCAAGTTTCTCAAGAAGACATCGTTTCTTCCCTCAAGTTCATCTCAAACTTATCTCTCTCTCATTTGGATGCTTATTTATCCTTTCTTAAGTCCGAGCTTGTCAATATTTGCAAAGAAAAGACTCTTTTTTTGAAGCTCACTCCATAATAAAGAGGAGATTCAAGCCGAGCGGGAAAGAGCTTGCTTAAGGTATTAGAAATCTTTGGGCCAAATATTCTCGGAAGTTTAAAGAGTTGTTTCCAGATGATAAAGTTGTCCTCGACGATGTTATTTTTGTTCAAGGTTCCTGAAGCTTCTTTTTGCGTTTCATTGCTTTTGGGAGGCTCTATTCGAAAGTTCATGTTTTGGTCTTTATGTCATATCTGTCAGTAATTTTGCCTCTTGGCTTTTTTATTTTTTCGCTCCCTTTGGGAGTTTGTATCTTTTGAACATTTTGTTCCTTTTCATTAAACAATGAGAAGTTCATATCTTGTGAAAAAAAAGAGGCTCCCTCTCCCATCTAGTTGACAGATAAAAGCATCTTAAGCCTTACTACTTTAGTTTATAAGGTGTAAGCAATAGCCCTTACTGAGTGTCTCAAGAAAGTTATGCCTTCCACCATCACTTTGAATCAAAGTTCCTTCCTTCAAATACTAGATCACATTCTCATTGCCAGTGAATTGGTAGAAATACAAGTGGCTAAAGAAGAGTGGTTGAATTTTGAAGCTTGACCTTGAAAAGGCCTTCAACATGGTGGATTGAGACTTCCTATAGATACAGAAAGGGTTTGGTTCAAGATAGATAAAGTGGATCAGGGGATGCGTTAGGGGAACCAAGTTGTGACCAAGGGGCAGAATTTCAGCCTCAAGAGGTTTAAGGCAAGGACATCCTCTTTCTCCCTTCCTTTTCCTTCCAGTGAGTGATATCTTCAGTAGTTTGTTGGAAAATGCTCATGCCAAAGGTCTTTTAGAAGGTTTCATTGTGGGGCAGCAGAAAGTCCACATTTCTCATCTTTAATTTGCAGACGATACGTTGCTGTTTTGTAAAGATGACGATAGTAAGTTGAACTCCTTACTTAATTCTATCGAAATTTTTGAATGGCTTTCAAGTTTGAAGGTGAATTGGCCAATGGGGACAAATCTTCTGTTTGCGGAATCAACATTGATCAATTAAGGAAACATTTTTTTGTGTCCTTGCATCTTGGTGGATCGTTTTGTTAGTAGTTAGCATGATCTTATTGTTGGCTTTTATTATCGTTCTTTGTAATGCTCCTTGTTGAGCCTCTTTTCCACTTTGGTTTGATCTCTTTTTCTTTCATTCCTTCGGAAGTTTGTATCCTTCAACTTTTTTTAATTTTTCTATATCAATGAAAAATTGTTTCTTATTGGAAAAAAAACATTGATCAATCAAGGACAAATCAGCTAGCCCATAGATTGAATTGCAAGGCGGTCTATCTTCCCTTTTCCTATTTAAATATGCCACTTGGAGGGAACCCAAAGACTTCCATTTTTTGGCAGCCCATCCAAGAGAAAATTTCAAAGAAGTTGGCAAGTTGGAGTCATTTTCAGCTCTCAAGATTGATCAATCTAGTGCATTGGGATGTGACTTCCCTTCGTTTATGTGATGGTGGATTGGGTTTTCGAGACTTTAAGCAGAAAAATCAAGCCCTTCTTGCAAAATGGGGTTTGCGACTTATGCAAGACTTATGCAAGAGGTTGATTCTTTGTGGCGTATTGTAATTGCAAGCATATATGGCATGGATGCTTTCAAATGGCATACTTTGGAGAGAGAGAATAGTTGTTCAATATGTCGTTGGACCAACATTTCTAAGCATTGGAGGAAGGTTCAACATCTCTCTATTTTCAAGGTGGGCAACCGTAGAAGAATTCATTTTTGGCTTGATCTGTGGAATGGTGATTTCGTTTTTAAAGATCGTTTTTTTCATCTCTTTGTGGTGGTAAAGCTTCCACTAAACTCTGTTTGTGAAAATTGGGATGCTCTTTCTTCTTCTTGGGTCATTGAAACCAGAAGAAGCCTTGAAGATTTTGAGGTCCAGGACTTCTTATCCATATTATCCATTTTGAATTCAGTATTTATTTAAGTGGATGTAGATAGATTCTCATGGGATCTTGAAGATCTAAAGGTATTCTCTGTAAAATCTCTATATTCGTTTGTTGGAAATGGGAATCCTTTGTCAAAGGTTTTGCCCTCGGGTCTTTGGAAATCCTCTTGTCCAAGAAAGGTCAGCATCCTATTGTGGATTCTTTCAAATGGGAATTTGAATACTTCTGTAACTATGCAAAAGAATCTTGCCAATTTCTCTCTTCAACCCTCTATCTATATGCTGTTTGTGCTTATCGAGGAAGGAGAATCAAGATCACATATACTTTCATTGCTCTTACGCCTTGAGTTGTTGGTGGTCTCTCTTCAAAGTTTTCAACTTATCTTGGGTCTGATGTCAAAAGTAACCTATAGCTGCCTTTTTATTGTTTCTTTCATCATCCGAAGGCCCAGTTTTTATGGGTTAATGTAGTCAAAGCCTTACTTTTAGAAATTTGGTTTAAAAAGAATCGTCGCATCTTCCGAGGAAAGAAGAAGGATTGTTTCGAGTGTTTTTAGCTTGCAAAATTCAAGGCGTCCTAATGGTGCCCTTTTTTCTGTCTTATTTTCGAGCTACTCTTCCATCATAATCTTCGGTTACTGGAAAGCCATTATTTCATCTTAGTTTTCTGCTCTTTACCTTAATTTATTTTGTTTCTCTTTCATTTCCTTTTGGAGTTCGTATCTTTAAATATTTTTGTTTTTTTTTTATTTATCAATGAAAATTGTTTCTTGTAAGAAAAAAAATAGACACTGGGAATGAGAATAATCACCAGTGTTTAGAGAAATTTTGCAGTGATTTAGATACCTGTTGTAATATATGGAATGGATAAACCGTTAGTACAAAATAGAAACAACCATATGAAGCTTTTTTCTTGTCTTATGATTAAAAGAAATATTTACACATTTCAGGTTGCTGAAGTAGTCCTACAGGAGGGTCAGAGTTTTGATTTCTCTGTTATCACGCAACTGGTGACGATCCTGTCTGCTAGACCTTCAAATGAGATTAAAGGCATAATGTGCCTTGTATGTTGGTCAATCTTACCCTTACAAAGCGTGAATAGTTTAGTTGATCTAGATCTACTGGAAGATTATGACCTCATTAATCAAGAAGGTCGACATTTTTTTTTTCATTTAGTCTAATCCTTTGTAATGTTTAAAAATTCCATTCCAGGTTTATAGATCCCTGGCAGAAGTTGTTGGGTCTTACTTTAGGTCAATATCTGCTTTCCACACCGATGCCAGACCCTTACTGTATGTACTCTCCTCTATTTCCTTTTATCCTTTTCAATTTGTGTGATTTGATTCTTGTTGATTGTTCATTTGTTATTGCATTTACTCTTTGTACTGCTTTTAAGTTTATAATTTCTGTTTAGAGTTAAGATTCAAGTGGTTCTTTCTAGTATCATCTTCACTATCTTTAAGAATGTCATAAAGCAGCGGCCATTTGTTAAGAATACATCCAATCCAGCAGAATACTTCTTTATCTAGATAATGATCTCGCAAATGGGTAACCATATACTTGATTATTGTTCTTCTTCCAAGAGTTTTTGTCATCAATATGGAAGAAGTGATAATTTGTGCTGCTTTGACTTGAAATCTCTTTGACCACTAGTTTAAGATGAAACTTGTAATAAGGTTCGTTCCTCCTTCCAATTCTCCTATCCTTTTAAGAGAATCCTTCAGCAACAATCAGGAAGATTTTTTCGCTACTTGGAGGAAGTTGGGATCACCCTCGTAGAAATCAATCATCGAAGCTAATTAATGTGAAAGGAGGTTCAATGGTGCCTAATCACAGCAAGGATCTGAAAATTGTTCCTTTGTCGGAAGCTTCCCTCGATGTTTTTGAGGTGCTAAAAGAAGAATTTCAAGAATTTTCATCTACCTCAAGGGGTTATCCATTCAACCAATGAAGACATTGTCAAAGAAGCTCTGGAAGATTATGTTTCAGATTATTCCGAAGATTAGGTAGTCAGTCTTAGTAGCATAGATTCTAATTTAGAAGCAGGAAGCGACTTTGGAAATTTTTCTTCTTTTCGGTCTTCCTTTTTTCCAGAATATTCTGTCGATATTGTGGACATTATTGAAGATCTTTCTCTTCTATTCAGCCCCTCAGATGTTTGATGGTTCGTTTGGGATTCTTTTTGCTTCTCTTTAGTAGGTGGTTGTTTTTAACTTTCAAGTCCTGATGAAATTTTTTAATCAACCCTCTGCTCATTCAGACTTTGGTTTTTAATTTTGCATTAGGTTTAGTGGTGTTGCTTTTTTTTTTTGGAACAAAGTATGAAAATTTTAATTGAGAAATGAAAATAAACAAGTGTTAAAATATACAAACTCCGAAAAAGGAGGGAAAGGAAAAACGAAAATACTAAAACAACAAAAGAAATAAGAAGGCATTCGATGAATCATAAATCCGTCCAGCTGTGTAGTTCTTGAAAATTAGTGAAATAGAGCACCAAAAGGAAGCTTTGAATGTGGAAAGTTCAAAACATTCCACCCAATCTTTGCTTTTGTTGTGGAAGAGTCTTTGATTCCTTTCAAACCAAAGTTCAGGAATAATAGCTTTGACTGTGTTTATCCAAATCCAACGGGCCTTCGGAGAAAGAAAAGGACCCTGAAGGAGATGCATTAGACTAGGTTTGGAACCTGCTGAGAAAACCCAATGCAAACTAAAATAAGAGAGGAGCTCCTGCCAACACTTCAGCGCATAAGAGCAATGAAGAAAAAGATGATCTTGACACTCGCTATGAGAGAGATATGATGCAAAAAGAAGGTTGAAGCCATTTGGAAAGCTTTTTTTGGAGAATATCCAAAGTGTTGAGATTCCCCTGCAAGAAATCTATATAAACACACTGACCTTCTTTGGAGAATTAGAAGACCAAATTTTCGAGATGATTTCTTTAGGCGAAAGAGGGCTGAAATCCTTTGTAATAGCAAGGGATTTAGCCAAAAACAGACCAGATTTTTCCAAATCCCATCTGATCTGATCATATTCATTAGATAAAGATACCAAACTCCGCATAGAAAGAAGAACCGTGCGAAGATCAATCTTCTTCGTTTGACTTCGTCTGTAATAGTGTTCAACTTATTTCTTCTTGGTGGTGCTAAACTTATTTCTTCTTGGTGGTGCTATAGACACAGGAAAAATTATTTTGTAATTATGGCCTCTCTATGATTATTCAAAATTGGAGAGCTATTCTTATGTAGTTTTGGGAGGGGTCCCCTCATCCCCTGCCCTTAGGCTGTTTTTGTTGTCTCTTTTTGTCTATAAAAGGTTTCTAATCCCAAAAAAAAAAAAGTCGTATCTTTTAAACATTTTTGTTCATTTTCATTTATCATTGCAAGTTTGTATCTCCCCTTGGCGGGTCTGTTCTTCATGGTTTACTTCATCTTTTGGTTCTTGTAATATTTGGAGAACTTGACTGTATTTGTGTGGTGTTTGGTTTTCTTTTCACTCCTTTTGGGAGGTTGCATCCTTCAAGATTTTTCTATCTTTTTATCGTTTCTTGTTAAAAGAAAATTATCAATAAAATGTAGTCATATTTATCAAGAGTAGACTTTTTCCCCTTTTATATTGATTTCCTATTTTCAGATTATTTCTTGCTACCGGGATCACAGAATCTGTCTCTTCACATGCTTGTGCCTTTGCCCTCCGTAAAATTTGTGAGGATGCAACTGCTGTAATCTTTGAACTGCCAAATTTGGAAATTTTGATTTGGATGGGAGAGGTAATATACTCTCATTGATTATTTTGACTAATTAATAAATTTAAAGAAAATGGATATTGTGAAATCCTTAGTGACTAATGCCATAGACGAAACTAAAGATTAATCATGTTAGATGTTTTGCTTCAATTTTTTTTTAATTTGACTTTTTACCATATTCCCTAAAGGCTATTCATTCTCGTGTTTGCCAATCTCCTGTCTCTTTTGTAGCTTAACCTCTGTAAATTACCTATTGAAAGGCTATGAACTATTTGTTGGCGAGTAGAAAATAACCTTTTCAAATACATTGGAAATACGGACAGCATACTTGTACTTTATTATGATTCATCGTAGTTCCTTACATTGTGTTTTAATATAAAATTTGTAAGGTTGTTTGAAAATCTAGTTGGGAAGTAAAATTTAAATTTAGCCACCATCAGGTTCTTCGGATCTTAAAGTTGCTTGTATATGCCATTATGTTGCACAAATGTCACTGCTTAACAAGGAATGAGCAATGCAAGGATAAATGATTAGATGTTTTTTCAGGTTATTCCTCACACCCCATGGGGCTATAAAATTGTACATGTATTCTTTCTATTTTCAGGCAAGCCATAACCATGCACATGTCAATTTTCTAGTGTCCATTGTGTTATTGCATCTCACACCCCATGGGACTATAAAATTATACATGGATTCTTTCTATTTTCAAGCAAGCCATGATCATGCCCATCTCAATTTTCTAGTGTTTATTCTGCAAGTTAAGATCTGGATCTTCCGATATTATTAATGTTAATGGTAATGTCTCTACATTTCTCTATGTATTAAGAAGGCTCTCCATCTGGTTCATTAATAAATAACAAATCAATTACATGTCTTTTTTGAACTAAGGAGCTGAAGTAGTTTTTTAGTATGTAAATGCACCTTCCTTTATTTATTTACTTTTTTGCATATCTAGATGTTTATAGCTCCCAGGTACATAGTCCTTGGTTTGAGAGATGTTGTAAAGAGGGAAAAAGAAGACAATAAAACTTAGGAACATTATAAAACTCTTTGGTTTGTGATGAACAAAGAGAAATTCAAAATCTAACTCAGTCATCAATGTTTCTTGTGTATTTAATATCTCGCCAACAATAATAAAATGGCTACCACAGTTCCCTAATAATAGACATTTTCCATAAGGTGCAATATGTGACACCTATATACTCCATCAACTCTCAAACAAAAAATGAGAACAAAATAATTGTTTTGTTTCGTTTGACTTGACTATATTTAAATTTTTCCTTGACATGTTTGTGCAACGACCTCTTGGACTAACTAGGCTATGGTTCTCTAGAGTCTGGAGAAGTTGCATTTACCTTTGGAGGACGAGGAAGAAGTAGTGAGTGCTGTAAGTTTGATACTTGGTTCAGTTCCTAATAAAGAACTGAAGAGCAACTTGTTGGCTAGACTGCTTTCATCAAGCTACGAAGCAATTGAGAAACTAGTAAGTTCTACCTATAAAACATGTTTGCTGCTTTTCTTTGCTTTTTATTTATTATAGTTTTCTTTCTTGTTGAACAAATGAATACATCAATTCTTTAAATCTTATTCCCATAGTCTGATTTATTCGAGGAATGTTTTTATGGCAGTGTTTTATGCTTTTAGTTTATTTTATGTTTCAATTTTGTTTTCACTCTTTCGAGAGTTTGTATCCTTGAACAATTTTGTTCCTTTTCATTATCTGAATGAAGAGTTCGTATCTTGTCAAAAAAAAAAAAATATTTGAATGTATCAATTAACCATAGACCATTTTGCAAGTGTAACTTGATATTAATTCTAGTATAGCACATCCTTTTTTAGTCTTTCTTCATGTTTAGAAGCATAATGGAAATGGAGAATAGTAGCTGTTGTATTGGCAATAAGTATTTGAGCATTAGGTTTGATAAAGGTTCATTCTTTGTTGAAGACATGAGCTGTAATGTTTGGTTACCTCATCATCTATCTCAAGCAGATTGGTTGGAAAACATTTTAGTTAAACTGCTGCATCTTCCTATTTATACGAAGTCCTCAGATATAGTAAGAAATGAGTATGGTACTTGTCAAATTCAGAAACCTTGTGTTGATCGTACTTGGCATTTTAAATGTGCTGTGTGGCCAAGATTGAGGGGCTTGAAAAGAGTTTTGATTCCTGAAGGAAACAATAAGAAAGGTTGGCTAGTTCTCTTGTTGAAGATGTTTCAATTAAGCTCACCTAAGCCTAATCAGCCAATTTCGAATTCTGGCTTGTGGCCCTCATATGTCAATGAGAAGTCTAAGTCAAATCAGCCAATTTTGAATTCTGTCCCTTGGTTTTCATATGCAGAAATGGTGAAGAAAGAAAGTAGTTTTGATAGAGGATCTTCCAGAGGCTTTAGGAATACTACTAATTGCCTTAAGAATGTTGGAAAGGATAAATTCAAGATGATTTGAAAAGAAAAGCACAAGTATTGGATCAGGAGAGAAACCGAGGTTGTGGAAAGATTGGGAAAATATGCTAGTCATCACCAAGCTATGTGCACATGATGAATGGAAAGCCTTGGATATTAATATTAAAAAATTCTGCCCTCTTTCTAACTTTTTCAGTTTGCAAATTAATATCCATGAGAAACTCGAAGCCTTGGATATGCAACAATCTCCGATTGGAAATACCCCACAACATCAAGCAAGAATGGATCAAGAAGTGGGGTTGGAGGGCCGTAAGACTACCTATCCACTGGAAGACCTCAGACAATCTGGTTGGGACCAAGAAACCTCCAAGAACCGCAACATTTTCATTAAGAAGTCAACCGAAACTTCTTATTCCAACTTTTTGATTCTTCGAGCGATGAAGACGAGCTGCTAGCCTTTGAAGGGGAGAGGTTCGGTAGGTATCCTAACCCAGTTAGACAACAAGAAAACAGTGAATACAAAATAAAAATTGACCTTCCTAGTTTTAATGGCAAGATGGATATTGAAGGCTTCTTGGATTGGATAAAGAATGTAGAAATTTTTTTTAGTTATATGGAAACTCCCGAGCATAAAAAGGTTCGTCTTGGCTTTAAAGCTAAGGGGCGGAGCGTCAGCTTGGTGGGGTCAATTGGAGATCAATAGACATTGATATGGAAAGCAACCCATTATGAGTGGGAGCATATGAAGAAGCTCATGAGGGAACTTTTTCTCCCAATCAATTTTGAGCGAGTCTTGTACAAGCAATATCAAAGTAAGCATTACTCAACAACTATCAATATCAATATCAATATCAATATCAGTTATGGAGGATGAATTCGTGTTTGTGACTTACCTCTTCACAGCAAGCATTACTCCAGGTCTTTCGTCTTCTTGCCAAGCCAGTGATGATAGCTCAGTTCATGTTTTTTTCCTATGTCCTTATGCTCGACATTGCTGGGAACGTTTTTAGGAGTTTAATTTTAGCTGGGTTTTTGGCATCATAGTGGCAGAAAAGCCTACCAACTGCTTACGGGCCTTCCTTTTTTCATAAAGCCAATTTCCTATGGCTTAACGCTACAAAAGCATTACTATATGAGTTATGGTTTGAAATAAATCTCAGAACTTTTGAAGGAAAGAAGCAACTTCCAGCGGTGCATTGGAAAGTCTTCACTGTACCTTGTTAAGGTTTTTGTTTTTGTCTTTGTTTTATTCTCACTTTTTCGAGAGTTTGTATCCTTGAACATTGTTGTTCCTTTTCATTATTTCAATGAGAAGTTCGTTTCTTGTTAAAAAAACAAAATTATTACTCTTCTCAATCTATTTTAGTTGCGATCTTGTTCTATCTAATCTCAATCCTTTTTCTACAACACATCATCATGAGCTTCATTATCTGAAATTTCAAGGAAGGAATTTCAACGGTCCAAACCTTCATTGGTGGAGTTAATTGAGGCATAGGAAAGAGACTTGAGCACTTCTAAATTGTCTTTCTTACTTGAGAACTTGGAAAGGAGGAATATTTCCTTGGGATAGAAGTCGCCTATTGTAAACAGGGCATATTTTTATCACTACAGAAGCATGTGATTGACTTACTTTCTAAAATAGAAAAAATTGGTAACAGACCAATGGGAATGTTGATTGATCAAAACGATAGATTACGTGCAGTCGAAGAGAGTCCTCCGGTAAATAAGCTTACCAAAAGGTTAGGTTAAAATTTGATATATCTCTCTCATATAAAGACTAGATATGTTGTGGGAGTGGTAAGTCAATTTATGCATAGTCGAAAAGAAATTCACTTTCAACCAATGTACCAGCTACTGTAATATTTGAAGAACTCCATTGGGAGATGATTGTTGTCTAAGAAAGGCAAGAACTCACTTTAGAAGTTTATTCAAATGCAGATTATACAAGATCTATAGATGATGAGAAATCAACTTCTAGCTATTATACTTTCTTAGGTGAAACTTAGTGACATGGAGAAGTAAAAAACAAAATGTAGTTGCAAGATCGAATTCAAATGCAGAATTTATAGTGATGGAATTAGGCATTTGCGAATTACTCTGTTGCAAATGTATATATTAATATTCAGTTCTTATGAATTCTATGCAGTCATTAGTAAATTAAAAGAAGAAGTGTGTTGCATTTTCAGGTTGATGAAGATAACGCACTATCTCTGAGACAGAATCCAGCTGCTTACACGAAAATATTGACCTCTGCTGTGAGGGGCCTGTATAGGTATTCGTCAAATAATTTATTCGTGTGGTTACTTCAATTGGAAGCTGCCCCATTTTTTGTCATTTAACTTCTGAATTCAATGTTTTTTTTTTTCCTTTTTAAATGAGAAACGAACTTTTCATTGATAAATGAAAATGAACAAAAATTGTTCAAAGATACAAACTCAGAGTGAAAGATAAAAAAAGGAAGAGCTAAAAACATAAACGGAAATGAAATAAGATATTAGATAGGAAAAATAAAGGCTCCCCAATTAGAACAAATGATAGGAGAGAAATCCTCAAATAGCTTTGAACCAGAAAGTGAAGCTGTGAACTTGGCTAGATAAAAGCAATCGGCTGCCGATCTACGCTTATTCTAGAAAATCCTTTGATTTCTCTCAAATCATAACTGTAAAAATACTGCGTTTATGACATGACCCAAAGAAGATTAACTTCGGGAGAAAAACCCGGACCACAAGCAAGGAAGATAAGTTACCCAGAACCTCCTTAGCAAAAACCCAAGCAATATTGAACTAGAGGAAAACCAACTCCCAAACAACACCTTGCATAGGGACAGCGAAAGAAAAGATGGGCAGAACTTTCACCATTGGCAGAACATAGCACACAGCTTTTTTTGTTGGACATCACAAGTATTGACCTTCCCTTTTATGTAATAGCTTTCCGAGGACTAATTTCCAGATAGCAGCATATAAAACCTTGGACAGATTAGAGGGATTAGAATGTATCCTACAAAGAGGAAACAGAAAACATACTGGAGGAAGCTACATCCCATCGTCTTTTGTCTTCTTCATACGAGATAGCCACCATATTTAGGGCAGCCAAAAGATCAACAAAATCTTCCATTTCAGAATCTTTCAAGAATCTTCTAGTTTCAATTTTCCCGCAGCGAGTATCCTTATCACAATAGTTTTAACTGAGCCAAAAGGTGCAATTGAAATTTTGAAAATTGTAGGATACCTAACCTTTAAAGGAGAGTTTCCAAGCCAAGGGCTTTGCCAAAAATAAGTACGTTTGTCATTTCCTATTTTAAAAAATGAGTGATGCCCACTGAAATGGATTGGCATCAATTCAGAATCAAACCTAATACACAATGGACAAGCTGAAGTAGAATGCATGCAGTCTAATTTATCTAATATCAAACTTCAGTGTCATAATGACCTTAATTTTAGACAAAAATTAGTCAAACAAATCAGCAAATTCTCCCCCACATTTAGGCGCAACGTGCAGCAACCCAAATTAAATACTAAAAAGGTCATTTCCTTTGAACTGTATATACTGTATGGTTAAAATACTCTTTTAGTTCCTGTACTTTTAATAAATGTTAATTTGGTTCTTGCCGTTAACTTGCTGTTAAGTAACAGATAGACGATGTGGCATTTTTTAAGATGAATGAAAGATTCCATGTAATTTTAAATTGTCAAATAAGCATTTAAATTTGTTAAATTATAGTTTATTTTATTCTAAAGGTTTCCTATTTTATTTAGGTTAGGGTTTTATTGTTCTAATAGGTAAGTATTTCCTTATCCTAATAGGCAAGAATTTCTTTTTAGTTTCTTCTT